ATTAAAATCTTGTTACCAAGTACAACTTTAGAACCACGACTTTGAAAATACAGACTCAATTTCTTATATCAAATTCGTTTATTTTAAATACTTCAACCAAGAATTTTATTTCCTCTACACACAACCATCATACCATTAATTACTCTAGGAAGTAAAAACTACAATTTTCAATTTAAAAACAAATAAAATAATATAATCATTATTCACTACCATATCTTTTAATCACATCAAACATTCCAATGCAATCATTTGAGTAGCCATTTCGAAAAACTAGCACAATAATAAGTATCGTAACTCATAGAAATAATTGGCCAATGATATCAATTAAACATGAATTGGTACAATACATTTAAAATTGTAGTTTTTAATAACAAAATAATGTATTATGTATGGAGTTGGATTTGTGCAATACGTAGCGCGGGATTCAAAGAGCGAGTGAATGGACGACCTCGCTTCGGAATGGAACAGTAGAGTGTAATGAAACTGCAAAGATTTTGTTACATATTGTTTCGTTTTTAAAATGGATAGATGAAGAGTTATTAGCTAACTGTAATTATTGAGTTATCTTTCAGAATATGACTTTAAACACTGTGAAGGTTTATTGTATTTAGTGGAGTTCAAAAATACTTTATTCTTTTCAAAAATTTCGAAGGCGCAGTCTATTTTTTCGTCTGCGTCATTTTCGCTGATGAAGCAGGTCTTTTTGGATAACAATGATTAACATAGTTATTACCAAATTTCAAGCTTCTAGTCACGTAACAGCGGTTCATTTTCTTCAAATTCCTGATAACACACCTACTTTCGCATCTATCTTATCCAGTTCTACAACATTTATTTAGAAGATTTTTGCTACTTAACGATTAAAAACTTTTAGCGTTGCAAAATCGCTTGTACTAGGGTAGGTAACAACATTGTGTTCAGATACAATCTCCCAGTGATTAACAATCGGCCTACCAAGTGTGGTATGGTCTTATCCCCCTTTGATCGTTGGCTGACCGATCTACATGTAAGATGTCTGGTCAAGCACGTTCCTATCCCTTATTTTTAAATTTTTACTAAATTTTCTGGATTATTCTTATCCAATTTTTCTATCATATTCAATAAAAAAATTTTGGAGTTTTATCCTAAGTTAATATTTCAAAGTTAGCAACTAACTTTGAAATATTTGAATGTTATAAAGTTAGAAGGTTCTCCATGTGCGACGAAGCTTTTGCCCAGGGCACTGATGATCTGAGGGATTATCAAACTTACAAAGTCTTTAAAAGTCATCAAAAGAAACCTATGTTCAGTAACGAGTCTTATGGCAGATAAAATGATATCGAAGATAAAGAAAAGATATTTTTGCTTAGCTAAGCCCATGCACATTTAAACTGCTACAGGTTATTGATGGTATTTCTTGACATACGTTACAGAAACAGTCTTCCGATCATGAAGTTATTGACGTTACTTTACGTAATGAAGGTCTTGTAGGTAGGTCAATATAACAGCTATAAACTCAGTAAGTGTGAAAATAGTACGTTTTTGCGTTTGAAAGTCGAAGTTATATTTGGAATTAAGAAGGCGGATAAAAGATTGGAGCTGTCTGAAAATATCGCACTCGGTATTAACATGTGCTAACAGATTCAAAAATAACTACGTTTTTGCCGTGACCTTTACACGGATTTTTCGGGAGAAGTGTTGCATAAATATAATCTTCTTTCTTTATACATACAACAACAGCTAATTTAAAACATTGTAATTTTTTTTTATAATTGCAACTTTTTTATTATTAGGTACCATAAAATTGATTGAATTGGTCATTAGATCATTAGAAGTTAATTCAATCCTTCCTAATAGCAGAGACATAAATAGTCAATTTGTATCCAAATGTAACCAAATAAATACACAAGTACCCATGTTTTAAGGTCCATTCTTCTAAAATTCATATAAGCTACATTTGACATGAATAGTAGAATCTGTTACTGAAAGATAAAACGATTCTATCTGGAGAAACCTTTTCAGTTCAAAGTGAAACTAAATTGGGAGGAAATTGGATTCAAAGTATCTATATCGTCTTTTGCGAATCATAGTCTACAGTCTACACAAAGAGGGTCCTTTGAGAATGTCAAAGTTCATGTTGTTAGTGCTTTCTTTGAACAAGGAGCTACAGATAATAATCGGGTCATAATCTAAATAAACTCTCAAATAATGACTTTTTAAATTCTAATTTGTAAATCCTATATGAATATAAAGTATGATGTGATATAAAATGCATAAAAGTGAATTTTGATTGACTTTTTAATTTTTCCGAAATCAAAATTAGAGCATTTTTATGGGATATGACCCTATCCCATTCGAACATGCTGACAGATTACCTGATAGTAAGAAATTGGCGTTGCCCATTGACACACGCCCATGGAAAATGGCCCATGAAAAACATTTCGAATTTTGTTTCAGGTATCATCGCACAAATGGCAAAACATAAAACAGGCCTCGCCCTTGCCTTATTTCGGACCAGCTTTTGCCTGCGACTCCGTTCGCGTAGAATAGTGACTTCTTGCAGATTTTGGTATATACATATCAAACTATGTCTGTACCAAGGTTCAGTCGTTTAGGTGTAAAGAAAAGACAGACAGACAGACAGAGTTATTTTCGCATTTATAATATTAGTTTGTATAAACAGGCCCATCCGAACCCATGCCGAAGCGTGGCTCTCCCACACCAAGTGAGTTTAATATCATGTTTCTACAAAAAATCTCTCACGATCTTTGTAATGGACGATTAATATGAAAATAAAGGATGCAACTAATATTATAATTGACACACGTAATATATCTTAGCAACGAACTACTTGAAAAATTAGGTTGCTTGAAAAATTGTTCATTATCGAGATTTCTAATCGCCAACACATCCGTCGAAGGATGTTAGCACCGAATGCAATAAAACAAATACATATTGTTGTTGTTCATGTAATTAATTGAATTTATAACGATAATCATTATAGGCGTTAATACACCTTTATCGAATTTAAAAGGTGGTTCTAAATATTAATCATATTGTTCTTAATCTTTATTCCTAATTTGACAACCCTACTGATCGAGTAGGAATGGCAATTTGAATATATTTTCCAAGTGGTCTGAATAGGTTTTCAGTTATTATTTTAGTAAACGGAACTTTTGACTGCACGGTCGGCGCGTTGCGTGGGCAACTGAGTGCCGCGCAAAGTGTCGCGGGTTCGATTCTGCACGGAACAACTCTTTGCATGATCCACAGATTGTTGTTTCGAATTTGGGTGTGTTGTGTATGTGCAATTGTATGTTTGTAAAAGCATCCACGACACAAGAGAATATTCTTATGTGGGGCAACGTTTTGCTAAATTACAAATAAGTATATTAAAAATACGAAATTCTGGAAACTACTATGTAAGGGTCATTTGCAAAGCAGAGCATATTAGCTTATCCACATAACGAGCAAAGCTTACTTTTAGAAAACAGTAACCTACCGAAGACACTGTTTACGGAAATGCAAGTCAAGACAAGACAACAAAACATGGTCATGTCATAAAAAATATTCATAAAAACATGCATCTATCCTTTTCTTTCCTATTCAAATACGAAGGCTAGAGGGAGAGGGATATAGTTTAGTGGCAGCTGAACAAATTGTAAAGGAACACTTGCGCCGGAGTTGTGAAAGTAAACACATTGGTGTCGGTTAGTTTTTATAACACGGAGCCGTGTCTGGCTGTTGTTTTGACGCAAATTACTTACAGGTTACAAACACGTCATTATACGTACGTCTGTATAAATATATTTAGGTAGGTATGTAAGTATGTATAAAAGAAGTGTCGGAGAGCCATGCTTCGGCACGAATGGGTCGGCTAGATCGGAGTGATACCACGGCCTCACTGAAAACCGGAGTTAAGCTACACTTACTTTGTGTTTGCCGTGAGGGGTGAGGTTACAGGAGGCCCAATTCTTCCCCCTATTCCATCCTCCGTCCTCAAATCCCCTATCCTTAAATCCCTAACAACCACTAGCAGTAACTCCCTTGGTACTGCGAGTGTCCTGGGCGGCGCTAATGGCTTACATCTTCATTCCATCAACTCGCATGCCAACCTATGACTTAAGAAAATGGATAGGTATTAATATTATTTAAATAATATATACTTTCATTACACTCTAGCCTGCACGGTCTAGGCAGTTGCCGGGCAACTGGCTGCTGATCTGAGTGGCTTATGGGTGTGAATTGTATGTTTCTAAACGCTCACATGAAAGAGGAGAATAACCTAGTGTAGCAAACTTGTTGTTTGAAACAAAAAAATTGTGTATGATACTTCATAGTCGTCTTGTCTCTGCCGCTGCTGCCTAATTTTAAAAAGGCAAAATATTTTATTTTACATTTAGATAACTACATTATTTTTATCATGGTTCTAGTCTGTTTTACAGCAGTTTAGTAAATTTATTATTATGTAGAATCTGTTTATTGTTTTCAACAGTAACTCATGGACGGTAAAAGAAAAATACATGTTACATAATGTGGCTGGATACCGTCGATCAACATCCAACGAAAAATAATAAATAAAGGGAAGACTTTTGTTACGTAAAACCAACAATGGTTTCTTGATTTTCACAGTCTATGATGGAATCTTTAGGGCTTTTTTGTTTATAAATATCAGAGCAGAATACTGTTAACATCACCCCTAGAACGTCATGGTGGCCCGGAGGATAAGGAGCCCGCTTCTCATGTATAAGCCCTCGATACTTAGGAAGTACCAATGTAACTTTTTTCGAGTACTTAACTGAGCAAGTACCAATGTGACTTTTTCCGAGTCATATGTACTGTCTATGATTATTAAGACACAACTGACATATGGTGAAGAAAAGCATCGTGAGGAAACCTGGACTAAGTTTCAAATCGCCAATCAGCTTTGAGCAAGCGTGGTGATTAATGATAAAAACTTCTCTGTGTGTTCTTATAGGTTGATGATGTGATGTGAACCCTAACGCACTTCATCATGTTCATCATGTGTCATCAAACCCCAAGAAGACGGCCATCTGTAACGTCATCACCACGTCGTTTTTATGAAGAGGAGACAAACGAGCAGACGGATCACCTGATGGTAAGCGATTTTCGCTGCCCTGGAATCCTGCAGCACCAGAAGAGTCACAGGCGCTGCCTTGTTCTTTGTCTGGATGAGACGACACAAGAAAAAGCCCTAGTCTGTTGGACCAAGTTTTTTTTAGTTAGCTATCCTTTCCAAGCACTACAAATAAACAATGATTACTTAAATTCCTTTCCTCCTTATTGATAATAGCAACATTATTTGCATATTGACATAGGTAAGTACATGGTGCATTGTTCATTGTCCAGAACTGATCACTGGACAATTTATACCGTCTTGATGAAGTTGCGATATTGTGAATCCATTATACATATTAAACTAGGTACATTCTATTGTTGTGAGGTTGGCATCGATCCTTGTTTTCGACGTTTCATTCATATTTATCATTTACAATGTGTGGTCTAATAAAATTAATGATTATTATTGTGAGTCTTCAAGCGTGCTGTTAGGACGCGGCTAGTGTCAGACTTAAAAAAAAAAACTGATACTGCTAACACTACTTTAATGATAGAACTTGAACTTCACAAGGATTAGAGTAAAGGATTGTCTTAAACTCGTCAGGATAAGATATCGACAAAGTGACGGCACCGGTAGACTGAAGCTTTTTTTTGAGAGAGGAAAATCACCAAATGACTTCTCCCGCCCAGAGTGGGGCGGGAGGGAGTGTCAGACTCTTACTGACTAAAAACCCCCTGTTCCTTCTCCTGCTCAAGGCCGAGGTCGCGGTGCCTCATTGCGCTTACCCTGCAACCCCGGCTGAACATCAGCCCTATGGGGCCCCGTCTGTGGTGGTCTATTGGCTCTTTAAGGCGCGCGCGGAACACTACGCGCCGTACGCTCGGGTCTGGTTCTGATCGGGCGGCGAGCTACCTTTACTCGCCGTCCGCAGACCCGCGCTTACGGTGTCCGGAGATCATCTCTCGACCGGTACACTGAAGCTGCCACGCGGTTGCAAGTATTTTTATAGTAATCAAAAATGCATGCATTTGCAATAACCGCGGACTAATTATGAATATAACAGGGCGTAAAACCGTTGTGTTTCGTCGTGTGAGTGAGGTTCCCGGAGACACTATCCTTCTCCTCCCCCAATCCCTAAATCTTCGCTACCCTAATCTCTCAAAAACCGGCTACGCACTCATAACTCCTTTGGTGTTGCGGGTGTCCATGGGCGGCGCGGATTGCTTACCATCAGATACGACACTAGAGAAATTGCAAGTGAGTGAGGGAAAGAATTGGGACCCGGCAACCTCACTCAACGGCGAAACACAACGCTTTGTTCACGCCAGTTTTCTGGGAGGCAGTGCTATCACTACGGTCGAGCTGATCCATTCGTGCCGAAGCGTGGCACACACCACAATTCGTTTCACAAGTACATACATATAAACTGGCGTGTGTATAATAAATAGTCTTTGACTTAAACTAAATATCCATTGTAATTAGGTGCATAATTTAATTTCATTCAAAGTAAACATTCTCCCAAATGTTTTCCATAACCTCGTAAATGTCATTTAGGACACCTTGGCATTAAAACCCACCTAACTGTAACAGTCAGTACCTAATTCAATTCCCGTTTTGCGCAAAGTATACAAAAATAACAATAGTCGGGGCTTACCATGGAGTAGTGAGCCAATGGAAAGCAAAGGCGAACGGAAAATAAAAAAGTACAAAATACGTAGCAAAATATTATTTTTATGATTACACTATACTGAAATCGTTATTTCAGTATTAATAATAATATATTAACGTATTCAAATATTTTTTTAAATAGGTAAATAGTCTAAAGTTTATGTTTGTTTCAAACGCATTTATCTCCAAAATTACTGTTTCGGATTGAATCATTATTTTTGTGTTGGTTAGTCCATTTATCGATGATGGCTATAGATTAAACAAAACAACGCTACGGCGAATAGGAGCAGCGAGTAAATCCGCGCCGAAGTAAGGTTATTTTAAAAAAAACAACAATCATAGGTGCAATAATAATTCTGAGACTACGTAGAGTGCCGCGCGCGCATCTAAGAGCTAATAGACCACCACATAATCATACGGGGCCCAACAGGGCCGGTCTTCAACTGGAGATGCGGGGCAAGCTAATTAAGGTACTGCGATCTTAGCCTGGAGCAGGAGAAGGAACAGGGTGGTTTTTTTTATGTAATAGGTCGGTAAACGAGCAGACGGATTACCTGGTGGTAAGCAATCAGCGCCGCCCATCCATGGACACCCGTAACGGAATAGTTACGAGTGCGTTGCCGACCTTTTAGGGATTAGGGATTTGGAGATTTAGGAACTGGGGAGGGATTGGGAAGGGGGAGGATTGGGCCTCCGGTAACCTCACTCACACGGCGAAACACAACACTGTGGTTGTTTCACGTCGGTTTTCTGTGAGGCCGTGGTATCACTCCGGTCGAGCCGACCGACCGAAATTAATCGTTAATCGCAAAGGTTTTTAGTCAGTAAGAGTCTGACACTAACACCCGGTTTCTGAAAGGCTTGTCAACGCTAAAATTAACTAATCTCCTGTTAAATCTCTTGTCAAGTCATCTGATTGGTTGTTGATAATTCAGTCAACCAATCAGATGACTTGACAAGAGATTAAATTGATTTTAACATTGATCGGCCTTTCGGAAACCGGGGGTCAATCTCGCTCCCAATCTGGAAGAAATCGTTTGATGATACCCCTCACAAAAAGGAAACAAAAACAATTAGAATGCACCGAGCTTCACACTACAATGACCTATACGAGTCACCGTTTAGTGTTTCATTATGAAGCGAATCCGTGTCACGTTTCGCATGCGTCGGTCGCTGCATTCTGCATAATCACTCCATTATTAACTTCTCTGTAACGTTTTAAAAACAAGTATGCATTATAGTAGGTAGCATTTGTTCCCGTACTTGCATTGTTCGAGGTTCTCAGGTAACTGTGATACAGACTTATCATTTTGCAATTAGATTTTATTTGCAACTGGAGAAAGGCGCCATTTTGTTCTGCGTACATATTTTCTTTATAAACGTAGGTTTTTTGTCTTTGTCATATCAGGGACGACCTACAGGATATCTATAGGTCCAAGAAAGACAACGATTGAAAACGATACCTATGCAATTGACTTTTAGATTACAGCTTGGCTTACGAGCAGACGAATAATGTGATGGTAAGCAATTTGCACTGCCCATAGACATCCATAATACCAGAGGAGTCGCAGGCGCATTGTTGGCCTTTTGTGGCTAGCTACAGATTTAAAGAAAGGATTTGGAGTTGAGAATTGCGGGAGGGACTGCGAAGTGTCCTGTTACCTCACTCAAACACGATTAATTTATAAGGACAGACATTATTTTTCTCTTCTTACTGAATCAAATATCTTCAATGATAAGTACATTGACTTAAAAGATGTGGGGTCAACATTAATAATATTGCATAGGTACTGAGCGGCGACGCAGACATCTCACTCCAAAAAATGAATTTATTTCATCTAAGTAAATCTTGTTTTCGTGATTCTTAAAATTTTGTTTCAATCGCCTTCACTAACAAATATAAACTTCCAAAGCTTACTATCTGCATTAAATAACCACTGTCTACCCGTTTAGGGTACTCAAATAAAATATGAAGAACAATTTGGACGAAATTACAACAATCCTTCTTTGTTACATCGTGGAAAAACACGAAAATCCTTTTATATGAACAATATTTTGGACATAGTAACACAGCCATTCACACAAATATTACTTTGCTCGCGCCATTTTTATACGCAGAAAGAATCAATTCATATTTAACTAACAACCCTAGTTTTATCCGACAGCACACACAAATGGGAAGGATTATCTTATGATATTACCTGTTATCATCATAACAAACCTTTAATTATGTGTTTTTATTGTTTTTTGTCTATGTATTAAATCTGATCCAACAGACAAACTGTGTACACAGTTTTGTTGGACATTTTATACTTTTTATAATGTAAAATGTACCTTCTAAGCAATAATAATAAATAAATAAATAATAAATAAATGTGATGCAGCGGAAAACGACCCTTCGTATTACCTGATGGTAAGCAATCGGCGCCACATTTAAACACTCGCAGTATTAGAGGATTTGCTAGTTTGTTGCCAACGGTAAATCAAACCATGAAACGAAAACTCAATTTATTTTTGTAAATTAACAATTGAAAAACAGCACTTTCACAACAACTCTAAATCCAGAGATGTTCAACCTTTTCTTCCGTTCCAGCCGACACATTCGTGCCGAAGCCTGGCTCTCCCACACTTAAAACTTGATCGAAAAGAAATTTTTATTGATGCGTCAAAATCAGGCAAAGGAAAGAGGGAGTGTCAGACTCTTGCTGACTAAAAACTCTTGCAATCACAACCACGGATTCACAAGACAGCAAAACTTTGAAAGTGTAGAATGACCTATAACGGGCACCGTAGTTTTTCCAAGCTGATATACGACCTTCAAACCTTCAAAACCAAAAGGCGTTCCTTTTTTAAAAGAATGGCAATGCATATTACAACTCCTCATTTACTGTCATCTGTATCTATGATTAGACTGTATGCCTCTATCGCATAAAAAAACTCACTTGAAATTTAAAAAAATGGTGTTATGTTTACTACTACAAATCCACGATCTATCGAACTATAAATCTAGACCATTGATGTTAATTAACAGTTACCGCATTACGAAAGTTCAGCCTCAGTGTTTAATTAGACAATTAACCATTAACTCATTGAAACAAATGAATCCTGCCTGTCTGTCTGTGTTATGGCTATCATTAAGTATTTGTTCTGTCAATTTCATATTATGTACTTTAGTCTCATATGTACCACTTACTAACCTACGGATGCGATGGTTGGTCTTGGCGACCTGTTATTGTATTTATTTGTACGTGGATATATATGAAACTGCTGATCCAAATCGGACAAATCATTTTGCATTGTCTACTCAAAAAAAGACACAACAAAGACATCAGGCCGCAACGAACCACAATTTTTGATAATCGGAAATAACCCAATTGAACTGCTGGACCTCAAGTCTGCTATTACAATAGTGTCAGAATAGTGGATCATTGATTTCAGAATTGTTGATTTTGACAATTTTGGTAATCTACTA